CCGACGTGTGATTTCTTTTTAAAAAATGCGTTTCTAAAGTGCATAAACTTTTGGGATTGACTGTATAGCCAATACATCCTTATACTGTAACGGAGAACTACTTAACAAGAGAATTTATGCTATCGTTGCAAACGTGCATAGTAAATTATCGTATAGAAAGTAACATAACGAAAAAGAACCTTGCCCAGCATCAAACTAAGAGACACACGTTGATAAAGTATCGTAGAAATGCATATTCTTAATTATAGACTGGATCGAATAAAAATCAAATTTAATTATTCATCCATTATTGCTGAGAAGTATGCTATTCGAGTACACGCGTTTCGTTTAATAAGAAATATCTAAATAGCAAGATTAGAAGTGACGGAGAACGTCTGATAAATACAGATTTAACGCCTCTTCTCTGGAGACTCATCGACCGAATAATAATAATAATAATAATAATAAACGCGTGTTACAAATTTTATAACGTTCGACCAATTTCTACTCTTCCCAATTCTTAATTACAAATAAGAACAATTGAGCAGCACGAATTTCAACGGGAGAGAATCGGTCGAATTTTTTAATACTTCTCTTTACCTTTGGTACGTAACACGTGGAATTATTTCATTACAAGGTCTATAATCAGCGTTCTCAGCTTTCCTGTTTTCGAGTGCTTCTTTTTGAACCTGCGCTTGGAACGCACCTGCTAGGTAGCCTCGGCCTTGTGCGCTGACTCGATAATCTCCTTCAAACAGCGACCGAATTCTTCGATTATAAGTCTTTGCGACGTTTCATCGTCGTACATGTTACGTTCAGCTTCGTCGGCTTGTGCCATCAAACACTGACACGTTATTTCGACTACTTTATCGGTCAAGAAGTTGAACGGTTGTCTGTAGCAAACGTAAACGTGTACGTGAATAAAATTGATACATTAATCATTAATTAATTAATATTAATTATAGAATTAATTGATACAAGAATGTATTAATTTTAATTTACTTACCTTGCGCCTGTGTTGGACGCCGCGGGGGGTCTGAAAGCCATTTCGGAGAGTTGAAGTTTAGTTTTGTTGAGCGTGAGTTGGGCGGTCCTTACTTCAGCCGCCTCTGCAAGATCCTTCAACGATTTCTTCTCTAAATTCGGTTCCTCAACGTTACGACATCCTATGCACTTGCAATTAGCCGAGCAAGGAATCTTAGCCTGTAGAAACGACACACTAATTAATAAACAAACGTCTTTAGATATGATTTTTGTTATTAGAACGATGCTTACTTCGTAACATTCGCAGTAATTTTTTAAGCATCCACTTCGTTTGCAGTTGCAACCTTTGTTGTGTCTACGTATGTCGTCGCCGGTCTCGCGGCCTTTGCCGATTTTTGGACGAAAAGCGTTCGGGTTACGCTCCAGACAGGATTTAATCGCCCGCTGACGCTCTTCTTCATTTCCGAGATTGTTCGAACAGTTGTTGCAGTTGCACATGTGACAGAATTCTCCGTTCGCGAAGCAGTCGCAGTATCTGCGTTGGATATGAAAATAAATGAACTTCGCCGACGTTCAGATGTTTAAATAATAGAATTCTGATTATTAATAAAATGGTTGCTTACAATTTGAGGCATTGCGATTTCGTGCAGTTGCAAGGCTTCCTCGGCCTGATGCCGTTCGGCTCGACGGTGGTGTACGATGATCTCTGAGAACTCTTGCCCTCTACGAGAGAGCCGACAGATATGGTCCCCGTGGAGTTTCGTAGATTCTGTTGGGAATTTCCTAGCAAACTGGGCGCCGCTTGCTGCGCCTTCGACTTGCCCTCGTCGGTGCCCTTTACGAACAGAAGACAGAGAATTCGATTTTAAGCACGACGTACATAGGACGATTCTAATGTAATTGACTTTACGACTCTGTCTTTTGTTTTTCTTAATTAGACATGTAATACTAAACCTGTTGTTGAATATATTGAGTCGATAAAACTACAATATTGCCCACATTTGAATTGGAAAGAACGGCCTGTCCTGACGCTAATTGACTGAGAGCAGACGCTGGGATAGCGACTGCGTTCTTCGACTGATTCCCGACCGTCGCCGTCGCGGGGATCAGTAATCTCTGACCGGTGCTCGTTAACGTGCTCTTAGGTGCGACTGTTCTCAATGACTGATTGCTCGTGTTCAAAGGCACCACCTGGATTTAGTATCGCGTGAGTAAATTTCCTCATTCGCATATTTCTTCTTCTTTTATTACGAACCTTGACGATCTGCTGTTGACCTCCCAGCTTCTGACCGACTCCCACGGTCTGCAATGTCGTTTGTGATTTCGTTTTTCCTACAGTGACGACGTTCGTAGTGCCGGTCGACGGCGTGCTGACCAATCTCACGTACTGTACTTGCCTACCCGGCATTTGTATCTGATGCACTTGATTAGAACCGGTGACGAGGTTCTGGTTTGCTGGTATTCTGATCACTTGCCCGCTGCCGAGGACGGTTCCGGGTTTCAAAGAACTCTGTCGAAAACATACATAATTAATAAGAATGAACGTATTTTGTATGAGGAATCGCGAACCTGTCGTATGATCACTTTCTGCGGACTCGGTTGTACGGTCGACTTGTTCGAAGTGGAGAACGTCGACTGCTGATTGGAAATAGTCGAAGTTTTACTAGCAGCGTTGACCGTCGGCGCCGGTAGAATCTTCGTCGGTGGTTTAATAGCGTTGCTGGGGAGTATGGCCATCTTCGACGGTTGAGAGGTCGCCGATTGCACTAATTTATTTACAATTATCCCCTTGAAGGAACACGAAACACATTTTAACAACCGTCATTTGGTAGCAACGCCGCAGTAGAATGAAATGCAAAGTGAAATGAAACCAGTACTTACTTTCTTCTTGATACTCACTTGTTTCTGGGGCGAGGTGGGTAAAATGTGTTGAACTTTGTTAGTGGAGAGGAGCCCCATTTGCTGTGCCTGTGCCAGAGTTATAGTCTTCGTGGGATTCGTAGAATCCTGCCCGGAGGTGCTGTTGTTCAGAAACTTAATCGCCTGCGTTTGATTCTCGTTCTGCGTTATTAAAACCTGTTGCCCCGACTGCGCCTGATTCCCAGTCAATATCATCTTCGTATATACCTAAAAACATTCAGACAATTAGATTTAATTTCACAGGAAGATTAACGATGAATTACATTTCGATTCTGAGGCGTGTTCTGCGCGCTGCGTTTCATGGCCGACTGAGACGTTTTCACAGTCTGAACATTTCCCAAGGTGATGTTCCCCGAATGACTGGTGGCCATGAGAGGCTTGCTGGGCTGCGCCGATCTCAATTGTACTATATTTCCATCTGCAGATTTCGCAGTTATCAGAGTCTGAGCGAGGGTCTGTAACTGTCCAGCGGACGCCGTCGACGGATGCGATATTTTTAATATCTGACTGGTGCCCTGGCCACCGGCAGGAGATACAATCATGATCGACTGGCTCTGCGTTACTTGCCCAATATTCGGTTTCACCTGTTGACCAGATAATAATAATATAAGCAACTTTAATTAAAAAGTATTCGAAATTCTGTACCTGAACCGTGGACACGGGAAGCCTCTGCAACGTGGGTTTCGTTTGGAACACGATGTTCTGATTGTTCTGACTCGCGGTGGTATAGATAATATGCTCCTCCTGAGCTTGCTCAGAAACCTCAGTCATTTCTACATCAGGTACGATTGTCTCAGTCTCAATATTACGCTCGATTATTATATGCTCGTCGTCGGTGGTCATTACTTCCTCGGCGTGCATACATTCTAGCTCTGTTTGGATATTGGCGAACGCTTCGAAGTCGTTCGACGAGTACTGCTCGTTGCTGTGGGATAAACTGAGCGCGCTTAGGTCCCCGTCGTTAAGAGCGTGAGGGTCCAGTGCTATCGGCTCGACCAGCGCCCTGGCGTTCTGCCCCTTATTTACAGACATGATCACGACCCTGTGAAAACGTTAAGTTTACAAATCTGTACTAGTCTGAAATTTTAATTACATAACTGAGGGTAGAAGGAAATGCATGGCGTAGAAATACACGAGGGCAATGCCGCGTGGTTTAGGTGACATACTGAACGGTATCATCGGCGACGTTCAATATCTCGTCGCGGTGTCGGTTTCCAGATGTCCACACGTTCCATTAGGAGCGCGTGGACAGGTTAGAAGATCGGAGAAGGTAAATAATTCTCGGTTCGAACGAAGGAACGTCGTCGGGGTTGTACACGAAAGTGAATATCGTGGACGAAGGAAAAAAATGTTGGACGGACTACACGAAATCATGTGAAAACGAGACGAATCGGTAGGAATTTAAAAATTCAAAAATTCAAATCTCTCGAAAGTAGTTCGACTCTGTTTGAATCCGAGCGACGACGAGGCTGAGTGGACGCGTGCCCGGCGACGCGAGGACCGAGTGAGGTTCGAATTTTCTAAAAATCGAACGCTAAAATTTGAATGATGAGGAAAAATTCGAAGGATCGTCCACCGAGGAACATTAGCGCCATTTATTGCACGAACGCGCCATTTTCCGTGGACAGAATTCCTCGGCGAATTTTAACACACTTGCTAGTCTCGCGGCCGCCCGACGACTGTTCACTAACGAAAAACGAACGATTTGTTCACCGAACGACGATAGGAAACGCGTTTGTCGCTAAAGTTCGATCTAGAATCGCTAAAAATTCGACTTAACCTAAAACTTATCAGTTCGTATCGAGTACGTACAGTGTTGGGTGGGGGCGTGCCACGAAGCTTATTTCAATCGCCACGAAATATTGAAACACGTCTCGGATGCGATCGGTAATAATTTAAATTTCAATCGAACCGCGTACGAATCGAATCGATTCCGTTTCTGACACATACCTGGGTGTTCCCTCGGTACCTCAATTTTGTTCAAAATCACGCGCCCACCATTGCTGTCCCACAGTGCACTACGCACCGCTGTGTACAAACAGACCCAAAGGTCGTTTTTAACGTTAAAATATCCACGCGAAACTCGAACGGCGATTAGGCCGACGGTACGAACCTCGATAACCTCGTTCACAGAACACGTCGGGGGAGTATCGCGATTTAACGAGCGAATAATTCCCAAGCACCGACCAATGTTTTCGCGCACTTTGTCAATTTCGATTTCGCCATTCTACACTCTTACGCGGCTAAACACACGTCGACGCGCCTGGCGCCATCTCGTGGCCACGAAAAAGTGTTCTAAAAACTTCAAATCCGAAATAATCTCCTAAGTTTGTTAACAATAATAATAATAATAATAATAATAATAATAAACTCGCACGAATACACAATGCGTCGTTATTTTCGCAATTATCGTCCGACGTTGCTCTATAATTTATTTATTCGACTATCGTCGTCGAGATTAGAATTTCGCCACTCGTGTTCTCTAACGTTCGCGTAGTTCGTGATCGTCAGTGATCGTAACAAACGCAAAGGAGCTGTTTGGTTATTCACGTAGACGCATGCACGCAAGTAAGAAAAAATGGTGGTGACGGCATCTTCTGTACGTCAACAGCTCACGAACTTAGCTTATTCCGGCGGCTCGCACAAAGACCAGGCGGACAAGTAAGAACTGCGTAAATTTCGAGCATATCCGAATGATTCGATACACGGATAACCTTGTTCGCAGGTATCGGGCGATATTAGACTCAATACTGTTGTCCCCCAGCGAAGAGGCGATTGACGCTCTTAAGATATTCATCGAAGCCAGTACGTTCTCTTTTACGTGCATGCGACGCTCCTAAGACCGTCTATACATTCGCATAAATTGTTTCTTTAAATACATTCCTTTGCCTTGCAGTCGTGAACGAATATGTGAGCTTGGTGATCTCGAGGCAGGTCCTGTCGGACGTCAGCAACAGACTGCTGCTTCTGCCCGACGAGGTGTCGATGGCCATCTCGCATTACACGTTAGACAAGGTAAACCGAGAATCATTTAATTGTACCGCGAGATTCGCTCTAAAACAGATTTTTATACGCTTTAGATACAACCGAGGGTGATCTCGTTCGAGGAACAAGTCGCGAGCATCAGACAACATTTAGCAAAGATCTACGAACGTAATCAGAACTGGAGGGAAGCTGCGAACGTGCTAGTAGGAATCCCCCTGGAAACTGGACAAAAGTAAGTACGAAACGTACGGACGGTCTTAAGAGTACTAAAGAGATGTTTATCTTCAGGCAGTACACGGTCGACTACAAGCTCGAGACTTATCTTAAAATCGCGCGACTGTACTTAGAAGACGACGATCCAGTGCAGGCCGAAGCGTTCATCAACAGAGCGTCCCTCTTGCAGGTACGTAAAAATCTCGACTCTAGTCTAATTTCAATCTTTCAAACGTGTGTCTTTTCCCTCAGGCCGAGTCGAAGAACGAGCAGTTACAGATTTACTACAAAGTTTGTTACGCCCGGGTGTTAGATTACAGGAGAAAGTTCATAGAAGCCGCTCAAAGATACAACGAACTGTCGTACCGGTCAATCATACACGAAGACGAGCGTATGACCGCGCTTAGGAACGCGTTAATATGTACAGTGCTGGCGTCTGCAGGACAGCAGAGGAGCCGCATGCTGGCGACGTTGTTCAAAGACGAACGCTGCCAGCAGCTGCCCGCTTATTCCATTTTAGAGAAGATGTACTTGGATCGTATCATCCGGCGTTCCGAGTTACAAGAATTCGAAGCGTTATTGCAACCTCATCAGAAGGCGAGCACGATCGACGGACTGGGATCGACTATCCTCGACCGCGCGGTCATAGAACATAACTTATTATCCGCTAGTAAATTATATAACAATATCACGTTCGAGGAGCTCGGCGCGTTGTTAGAAATACCGCCGACGAAGGCGGAGAAGATCGCCAGCCAAATGATCACCGAAGGCCGGATGAACGGGTACATCGATCAGATCGATTCCATCGTACACTTCGAAAGTGAGTCGAGAATTCTTATTGTGCTCGCTATCTCCGGTAGACTTCGTCGACCTCTAATCTCTTTGTTTGTTTTTTTTTGTAGCGCGTGAAACTCTGCCGACATGGGACAAACAAATACAATCGCTGTGTTATCAAGTAAATCACATAATAGAGAAAATAGCTCAAAGTGAACCGGAATGGATAGCGCAGGCGATGGAAGATCAGATGGTGCATTAACATCGAGTTTTTCTAACGTTAAATAATAAAACTAAAACGCAAACGGGACATTTGATACGCTACGGACAGTTCGAGGCAATAAGGATTGTTATCATTTCACAGTGCAACTCATTCATGTCTCTCTCTTCTTTGTCAATCGTCGAAGAGTCGATTTTTGTATGATTAATAAATTTTCAATCGAAATCTACAGGCTTACGATTTAGCTGTTCTTTTCGTCTAGCTTTATTATTTATGAAAAGCCGAACGGTGAAATGTGGAAAAAGTTTTATTTTAAACAAAGGGATCGATTACTGTAACAGTTTACGTAGGATCGTTTATAAACATCACGCATTAAGCATATTCCGAGCTACGGAATACTGTAACGTTTCTCTTGTAAATAAAAGCATTCACACTGCACATAAATTTAACTTTCGTTTTTTTATTGTACGAACTGATGATGATCGAAGCTTAATTGAAGAGTGTTTGTTTAACAACAGTCGGCGTATATAGGAGAATAAAATCGTATGAGTACAAACGTCTTACAAGCTCGCTACAGAGAACAAGACCGTGGAATTATTTATACAACTAAAATTATCTGTAATAATATTTTAAAAACGATGTCACACATCCCCGTTTTAATATACGCCAGACTTTTGACCGTCTGAATACTATCTACCATAGTAATCGAACATATATTTGACAATAGGTTTGAATCCTAAAATAGCCGCACTGGCAGTAGTACTGTTTCACATTAATTATGCAGGCAGGAATGAACGTTGTTTCGCTTTAAGAATTAACAGCTGACACGTACTCGATATATATATATATTCCATACCATTTAATCCCAAATCCCTGTATGTAGCTTTTTATTTAGTATAATATATTACGTAGACGTTCTTTACAATAAATTCTAACGTTAAACGATGGTTTCGTGTAGCTACGAGAACTTATGTGCAGTGTACTGTGTGTGTTCGTATCTCGAAATCAATCACAGATCTTACCGTGTACACCAAACTTTCTTTTCGACTGACTTTAGCCGATCGTTTTAATTACACTGCTTTATCATCGACAGGAACTGGTAACAGACTGCGTGGTACAGAGAGAAAATAGAACGGTTCTCTATTTCGTTTTGAAGAATTAGTAAACTTTGTTTACTCACGATAAGATACTGTTACCATTTTCATTTTATATTCGTGTATATTTCAAACTAACATCCCTTGGACTATTTTTAAACGACGCACGGTACCTTGTGGCATCTATTTCGGGATAAACCTATCTATATGTTATAGGCAATACTTTTATCTGAAGCATGTACCGTGACACTGCCCTTGATCACGCAAAACATGACCTTAAGACCTTTCGATTCAGTCGAGTTCTTCCGTGTCCGCAAATCGTACGTACTTAAGCTTGTAGGTCTAGTGCGATGCCGATCTTGTGCCCACCAGAGCCGAAGTTCTTCCCGTCGATGTTCGTCGAGAGCGTCAAAGTCACACCTGAAGAGAGAAGATCGAGTGATTCCTTATAAATAAAACGCGTCTACCGTCGGTGACCGTGTCAATCGTTGCTCTACTCTAAGTAATGCAATTATGTAGAGTAACGATGGCGGATATCATAACACTTGGTCTATTAATAGCGTTTTTAAAATTAAACTTCCTCACCGTCGCGCAACTTTTGCTGATATCCCAAGCCTACTTGGAGATTCGAGTTGACCTTAGCTCTCACAGACGCGTCCTGATCGAGATTGTATTTAGTAGCGATACCGAACTGTGTTATATTGTTGCTAGAGTTCCACTCGAGATTGATCGCCCCTTGCAAGTCTGACTTCACTTTATGATAAATCAGGCCGCTGAACTCACACCCGTTGTTCCTACGATTTCAAAGCAACCACGTGAACAGGATTTATCTCGAGTACGACGATGATGTTATACGTACACCGCGGCGTGAAGGGTGAAGTCGGAGCCGGTGTAACCGAGGGCGAAATTATTTTTTGTAAGTTTGTTTCTTTGCGTGTCGAAGCAGGCCTGGTAACCAGCCAGCCACCCTGCAATTCAGTCGTTTTAAAATCTTCCACCTTCGTTTAATCAAATATTTAAACTCTTACATTTTCCATTGCGGAGTCTCTTGGGTACTGGGGATAAAAGAGGGAGGAATAGGCTCAAATAAGGAAGCACAAGGGATCACATGGAAGGGAAACAGATTGAAATTAATAGACTAGAAATAACAGATCTTAAATCGTGGCATAAAGCGATTCAACCCTTTGTACTCGAGCGGCACGAAAACTAATTGCAAACTTTCATATTTAACAAATTTTGTTGTATTCAATAAAAATTGATTCTTTTGAGTATAAAATGTACCCCTAAAGTTCTTCTCTAATATAGCCGAAATCGTCTCGAGCGCAAAAGGATTAAATGCCTGACGATTTCTGTACCTTGATGTCCTATAACAGCCGACGCGTTAATCAACGGACCGGCGGATAGACTGAGATCGAAGTCGGCAGTAGCAGATAAATTATCATGTTTAAAAGCTGTCTTCAGTTTTCCAGTTTTGGTCCTACGACGAAACGACTCTCTCAGTATACATCGAATGATGATTCGTTTTAAACGAATTGTTATTATGTTATACCCAGTTTGTGGAGAGAACGTGCACCCATAACCAAGGGTGAGACCTTTCAGCAGTTTATCGGAGAAGGTGACATCGGTGGCGAGGGTGTTATCAGTGTTCCACTTTTCACTGAATTTCAATCCGTACTCGTCGATGTTGTATTTAGTCTCCAACGTACCGAAAACCTTGCCGGTGTCCTGATTGGAAACGCCGCCGCTGGAGAACTCTAGACCGGATTTAGTTTTCGTTTTAACGTCTAATTTGATTAAACCGAAGTGGTACCCGCTGGAGAACAGGTCACGAGCACTTTTGCCCAAATCACTGTACGACGGTGGGGCCATGATCTATATAAAAAAATGAGAAATTCAATTGGAGGTCCAGCAGTTATTCTGATGTAATCAAGAGAGGAATTATGGGCATACATATTTCGCGATAACAGATTTTTCGTTATTTATTCGAGAGACGTTACGAACAATTGGAGCAACTGTCATCGACGAGAGATAAGAATGTCAAGTAATGAATGCATCGTTAATTTGACAATAATATCGGGCAAAATGGAGCGATATTGACCTGGCTGGCTGTTACATAAGGCGTAAATCAGTGATCTCCGATTGCCATAAATGAATTTAACGTTACTCGAGACTAATTCGATGTTGATTACGAGATCGACGATAACCCGGGAGAGGAACGATCAACAGACGAATCTACATGAAACGAATAGCCGTTTAGAAGATCGAATCAACGACACAACCGACATTATCATAAAGTCACGCCGGTTATTAGAATAATCGAATTTTAATCGGAATTATTATGAATGTCGCGTATCGACGAATGGCTGAGGTTAAAGTTTATTTAAACGTTCGATAAGATTCGTTGCTACTTACTGTTTTATGTTACAAGACACGAGTGCGGAAAACTGCGTGACTTCGCCTCGGAATTGCGTACGTGAGACGATAACCGGGGGAGAGAAAGATGGAACCTATCCCTGTCCTCAACCTTGCCGGCGCATGCGTCCTGCAACGTAGAGGAAATACCGAGTCTTTTAGGCCGGTATTCAGAAAGATTTAAGCATTCGCTGTCCCTTTCTAACCTATATTCCCAGTCCTTGTCTTGTACAGAAAATTCGAATTGAAGCATTTGCTATCTTTGTTTATCAATGTTTGTCTTACCTGTACAGGAAACAGGGACTTAAACAAATGCTGAAGACGATCTTAAAAATAAATACGAGGTTATTTCTACAGGAATATGTCTATGAGGAATAACGTCGTTTCGAATGATCGTATTTCCATCGATCTTCGAACCAGCCAAGGGGAATCATTTAATACTTGCGTTGATCCCGTTTTGACAAACGCGTTATGTAATCTTAATAAGAACACCCTCGCATATCGTCGGTAGGTTCTGAACACCCGGTAGGTTATCGAGCGCTCCAGAGATAAGGAGATTCGAAATTAAATGCATTTCGCGCGCTCAAGCAATGTTTTAAAATGGATCAATTCAGTATTTTTATAATAAAAGAATTTCTTCCACCGCCCAAGATTTCCTTTCTATCATAAATTCTATTTTACAGATTCGCAATTAATATGAATTAAGATAATCTCTGTCAAAAGTCGAAGACATGCATTAAAAATGCAACTTTTAGAGAAAATGATAATTAAGGATTCGCACAGCCTCGAGCCAAAGAGTAGAGGAGTGGATTGTTAATTTTCAATTACCGCGCGGCGTTTGCAAAGCGGAGGTTCTTGAGATCCGAAAATAGATCGACGAATTTCTACGCGAACCGAGGTGAGTCTTCGAGAGGATGGTAGCACAATCTAGATCTTACGTTTGGCAGTGTTTGCCCGCAGTATAAAAACTATATAAACCGTCGGACGGAACTTGGTTTTCAGTCTGCATGCACCCAAGCGCGGATTGCGAGATCCAAAAGCCATTCAAAGGATAGGAGCGTTAGTTTTCTTGGATCATCATGTCTGAACAGACGGTAATTCCAATTATTAATAGTAGAATCAGACATTCCATTTCATCCATCCAAATCGTTCAGTAAACGTTACTAAAAAAGACAACAGATATAGAAACGATGCTAGTAAATTATAAATACGAGTCTAACAAAATTGATTTGCATATGAAATACCTTTTTTCTGGAATACTAATTTCCAACCATTGTTGATTAGGGATCGAAATTAGCAGGAAAATGCACGACGACGTACAAAATCCTGCAAAGCGAGAGAGTAGGAAGGTAATATTTCTTACATCCAATTGAAACATTCGCAGTAAACAAACATTCATTATAAGTTCCTATGTTTTTTTAGATATATGGTGGCTAACAAGGAATTGGAAGCTGGCGAGGAGATCATCACGGAAATGCCGTTTGTAGTGGGACCGAAAGCTGCCACGTACCCCTTGTGTCTTTCCTGTTACACACCTTGGCCAGCTACGGACGACAAACCGCTTTGCTCGAAATGCGGATGGCCTGTTTGCTCAACAGAATGCGAGAATCAACCGCAGCACAAGGACTACGAGTGCCAAGTAGAAACTAATTATCATCGTTTACCACAGAAATTTAAACCTGCAGTACTAATAGAATAGAATTTTCCTCGTATAGATATTCGCTCAGGCTAATGAGAAATTCAACGTAGAAGCTGCGTTGCAAGAGGCGAACGAGAACGGAGTACCTCAATTGGAATGTATTACTCCTTTAAGATTGCTTTTAGAATCAGAGAAAAATCCTGATAGATGGAACAATGAAGTAAAGGACATGGAGGCTCATAACAAAATTCGAAGTCAGAAGGAGCAGTGGAAATCTGATCAAGTAAACGTAGTGGACTATATAAAAAACAGACTGAAACTGGAAAGGTATTTCCTAATTAGAAACAATTAAGAATGATTTCTTAATCATCCCTTTGCCTGTAGGTTCTCTGAAGAACAGATTCAAACAGTTTGCGGTATTCTGGAAGTGAACGCTTTCGAAATTCGTTCATTGAAAGGATTCCCTGCGAGAGCACTCTACCCGACGACTGCTATGATGAACCACTCCTGCGTTTCCAACACCTGCCACAGCGTATCGCCAATTGATTACAGGTAGACTCATCGATTATAATATCAACACATGATTCTTATTACTTTACGTTTTACAGAATAAGACTGCGTACGACGTTGAAGATTCCTCCAGGAGGCGAACTCTATGGAAGTTACGTGCATTCTCTACTACCTACGATGTTAAGAAGAGAACATCTCCTCGCAGGGAAATATTTCGCTTGCGCCTGTCCGAGATGCTCGGATCCTACGGAATTAGGGACGCACATGTCGTCCTTAAAATGCAGCAAGTGCGACAACGGAGTGATTTTATCATTAGATTCACTTGGTACATAAATACAGTAGAATAATTCGACGAGGAATTTAATTAAATCGATTTTACAGATCCTGAGAGTTCGTGGAAATGCACGCATTGTGAATTCAGTACTTCCGGACCGGCGATTCGAAAAGTATTGTCGGTTGTACAAGCGGAGGTCGACGCGGTGGAAGCTATCAGTGGAGCCGACGGAGCCGATGCTATTCAAGCTAGGGAATCGGTTATGAAAAAGTATCGTTCGGTCTTACACCCTCGACACGCGTTCTGGACGATCCTCAGGTAATTTCTTAGATTTTTTAATATTCAAATCTACGATTTACTCATCAGATCTCTTCTTTCTACCTCAGACATTCACTGACGCAGATGTACGGACGCGTGGACGAGTATTTGTTAGACGATCTACCGGACGTCGTATTGGAGCATAAAATCGACATGTGCAAATCGCTACTCCAAGTACTGGACGTGATAGAGCCCGGCTGTTCTCGCATTCGAGGTAAGAGTTTAATAACACACGAGGATAACTCAGAAGAGTTAATCGTTCGATTTTGGATTAGGAATGACTTTGTACGAACTCCACGCGCCTTTATTGTTCATCGCGAAGACGCAGTGGAACGCAGGGGTGATCGACGAGGCCGCATTGAAGTCTAAAATGATCGAGGCTTCAGAAATTTTAAAAGAAGCAATAAAGATTCTATGTATGGAACCACCGGAAACACCGGAGGGACAAATAGGCGTCGTTGCTAAACAATCTCTGGTTCAACTCGAGCAATCCATCAACGATTTATAATATTTGTTAAATATATGTAAAAGTAAATAGTAAATAAATGATTTGTAACGTATTCGATTTCTATTTCTTATAACAGAGTGCCTAATTTAGTTCTGTAGCGATGCGCGTTGTTTACTCACGACTACTTCAAGATTTCTAATAATACAGCTCACCGAGAGTAGCAAAGAGTGACGTGCTCTCAGTTACCAACTACAGGAGATGCTCTATACTGAGTGCAAGTAAGCAATCGTTCTGAGAAGCACACGATAAAACATGAAAAGTACTCCTGTGTTAAAATACAAAGTCTCTCAATCAGAGAAACTGGGCAGGTACAAACTCATTCACAGTATTTATAGACCCTAACTAATGCCAGTACAGTTAGATTATTTTCTTAAGGTATTTGCAAGCTGCGAAAGATCTAAACCCCGGCGAAGTGATACTGCGAGAGACTCCGATCACGGTCGGGCCGATCACCTCTAGCAAAGATTTACTTTGTCTCTCGTGCCTGCGTTCGTTGCCAAAGATCAAGAAGGTACCGCAGTACGTTTGCTCGAGATGCAAAATCGCTCCCCTCTGCGGCACTGCGTGCGAGGTACGGATATAAATACAAATCAGAGATCGTTTTAATTAAGTTGGAATACTCTTAGGAGCGAGGGAGACATCACACGGTGGATGAATGCGAGATATTCCAAGCTAATAAACTGAGGCTGTCTGCGAGTAACATAGAGGACATCACCGGCGTTCTACTACCTCTGAGATTATGGCTTTTGAAACGGAATACAGAATTATGGACGCGAATCGAATCCCTGGAGGCTCATATGGACAAAAGAAGAGACACGCCAGTCTGGATAGACAGAGAAGAGAGCGTCGTGAACGTAAGATCAAATTTTTAACAAGAATCGATTATTTTTTTAAAGTAATGTTTAATTAAACAGGTAATGAAGTCGCTTGGATTGGTTTCTGAGGACGACGCATCTGTCCTAGAGACTTTACAACGACTCTGCGGCGTTTTAGACGTGAATACTTTCGAACTGAGATCCCCGGGAGGTCTCGATGGCCTTCTCTTACGAGGTTTATATCTGGAAGCCTCCCTGATGGCTCACGACTGCAGGGGAAACACTCATTTAACGGTCGACGATAATTTCCAACTGACCGTCTACGCGAGTCTGCCGATCAAGCAAGGCGATACGATTTTCTTTAATTACACTTCATCGCTTTTGGTACATAAATCGATTCTTCTTAATTAAAAAGAATACAATGAAACCTTCGTATCCTAAAACAAAATGCACTTTATTCCCAGGGGACTTTGGGTAGAAGAGAGCATCTACTAGGAGGGAAATATTTTGAATGCGAGTGTTCACTATGTAAAGATCCTTACGAGTTAGGCTCTTACATGAGCAGCATTCTGTGCCCGCGGTGTAGACGAGGGTACATAGGAATGCAGAACCCTTTGACGAAGTTCCCATTTGAAAAAGTCACGAGGTGGCGATGTGAGAAATGCAGGGGATCCATCGGAGGTCGTCTGGTCAGAGCTACTTTGAATATAAGCAGAAGCTTAATCGACGACGTAGACGAGGGAGACATCGAAGTTCGTAGCTCCTTAAAATCCCTTTTATTCCAACTCCTTTAAATACCATAATTTATTTTAAGGAACTGGAGAGTCTGACGACTAAACTGCTTAAGAGTTTCCATCCGAATCATTTCCTAATGCTAGCTTTAAAACAGAAGCTGCTGGCTGCTTATAGGAGAGAAGTTTCCACGCCGAATCCTCGGAAAAAGATCTTAAGAAAGATGCTGAATGCTTGTAAAGACATGCACGACGTCCTGGAGATTGTCGAGCCGGGGATCTCGCGGTTGAAAGGTATTCCACCGGAAGCAGCAAAAATTCATATAAAAACTGTATATAAAAATGTATTTTAGGAATCATGTTGTACGAGATGCACTTACCCTTAGTGCTATTAGCGAACCGTTCTTATTCCGCGAACGAGATCTCCCCTACGGAGTTGGCGTCGCGCCTGGAAGAGGCCGGGGGTCTTTTAAAAAAGTCTTTAACTATGCTACTTTTGGAACCGGCGGACACCCCGGAAGGGAAGCTGGCCAAACGCGCATTGCAAGAATTGAAGGGACTAAATCAAAACATAATCGACGTTAAAACGTTCGCCGAGAGACCTCGTAAAAACAAATCACATAAGAATAAATGATGTACGAAATGAAATAAAATATTATAAGGTAAAGGAAGTAGTACTGGGACGAAACGAATTTTGGAACCAGTACTTGGACATAATAGATATGTATTTAATAATTTACTGTGATAAGTTTTCATCTACTATGCTTAAATTTCGTCGTAAAAAACATTATAAAAAGTTCAAAAGTGTCCAGGCACTACTTCCTTTACCTTAAACGTATCTTATCGCTATAGTCTGCGCACTATAGAGTTCAAAAGGATCACCATATTTCATCGAATCTTACGACATAAATCGTAACATTGTCGAAGCTTGATGGAAATAAAATTTATCCGATTATTTCTCACTATATAAGCTGCTAAGTCTATCAGTAATTCCGTTACGTAGTCTCTTCGTTCGCCGAAACTGTTCGACACAGACGTGGTTAGAAACTGTTGGTTTAAATAATATTAGAATGAAAAAATTCGAAAAGCTCGTTTTAATATCTCATAAACCAATACGGAGCATGTGATTGATTAATATTGAAACGTGTCAATCAATAAAAACTCTTATACGATTTACTAAATTATCTGCACAGGTAAAACTAATAAGATTGCAAGGCATAACCTCTATAGGAATCATGATATAAACGTTTCTATTGTAGTATGTTGGACCACAGCATAATCGCGATATGCTTTTGTGTCTGCCTGGCTATAGTTTTCAATTTCTCTTTGCACCGCATAGAGGAGGGCCATGTGGGCGTTTATTTCAGAGTAAGTATCTCAGGTCGCATACTTAAAACAGAGAGAATTTATCTGTACTTTGTTTGCATTCTAACAGGGAGGCGCACTGTTGCCTCAAGTAAGCAATCCTGGATTTCACATGATGATACCTTTATTAACAACGTACCGTTCCGTTCAAGTTACATTACAAACTGATGAAGTAAAAAACGTGCCATGCGGTACGAGCGGCGGGGTGATGATCTACTTCGATCGGATCGAAGTTGTAAATATACTAGATGCAAACAGCGGTAATTGACCTCAATACTAAGGAATACTAAGACAGATCTTTGATCATTCTATCTATTAATCGTTTCCATGTTCCAGTGTACAACATGGTAAAGAATTTCACAGCGGACTACGATCAGACGTTGATATTCAACAAGATCCATCACGAGCTGAATCAGTTCTGTTCCTTGCACACTTTACACGAGGTGTACATAGACCTGTTCGATCAAATCGACGAGAACCTCAAGACTGAACTGCAGAAGGACTTGAACGATCTGGCACCTGGTTTAAGCATCCAAGCGGTTCGCGTTACGAAACCGAAAATCCCAGAGACGATCAGAAAGAACTATGAATTAATGTAATAATAAATCAGAACATGTATCATTAATTACAATTTGAATGAGACATCTTCGTGTTACAGGGAGGCTGAGAAAACGAAGCTGTTGATCTCAACGCAGCATCAGAAGGTCGTCGAGAAGGACGCGGAAACAGACAGAAAGAAGGCTGTGATCGAAGCAGAAAAAGAGGCGCACGTGGCGAAGATTCAGTACGATCAGAAGATCATGGAAAAAGAGTCGTTGCAACGGATGGCGACGATCGAGGACGAGATGCATTTAGCCAGACAGAAAAGTCGCACCGACGCTGAATTATATCAAATGAAAATGATGGCAGAAGCGAACAGGCTTCTCCTAACCAGAGAATATCTAGAACTAAAAAAGTACGAAGCTCTGTCGAAGAACACGAAGGTGTACTACGGTCAAGACATACCAAAAATGTTTATGTACGGTTTCGATGGTACTTCGCGTCCAAACGAGATCCAAGAAAAGTAATCATCCCGATTAGAACTAGTCTAAAAACTATTATTATTATTATTATTATTTAGGCGTTTAAAACAGTTCCTCTAATCTGTCCACGTGTAATAAAAACACTTGTTAAATTGTAATTTAAATAAATCGAGTACTTATCGAATTTATCTCTAATTCCGGGATTCGAACCTTAACCCCAACACGGTAGAATGTTAGCGCACTCTACGATGAGCATCACACATGACAGTCCGTCAAAATAACTAATAATTCTTTAACAAACCATACGAAATTTACCAGAATTTTATATAAAGTGGTCGTCAGGATTTATCCTAGCATTAAAAATGACCGCGGTAAGTAATTACTCCAATTTCATAAAGAACCACGCAGTTAAGAGGTTATGAAAACGACAACGTGATTCTAACATTTCAGGAATTAAAAACGTTTCTTTACGGGCTTTTGAGCAGCGTCGAAGGGCTGCACAGTATATTGATAACAGATAGGGACGGAGTACCTGTGGTGTCTGTGGCTGACGAGAAGGCACCAGAGTTAGCGATGAGAGCCAGTTTCCTCTCAACATTCGGTATGGCCACGGATCAAGGGAGTAAACTGGGATTAGGAAAGAATAAAACGATCATTTGCATGTACAGTAGTTACCAGGTAATGGAAACAACGTTCTCCATATTTTACCTGTTGTTTCTAATCGTCGGTTTGTATCACAGGTCGTGCAAATGAACAAACTACCTCTGGTGATCAGTTTCATCGCCAGTCACAATTGTAACACAGGACACATCTTGTCTTTGGAGAGTAAAATCGACCCGATCCTGAGTAATTTAAAGAACGCAGTGGTGGAAGCCTGATGGTTACCCGTCGTGCACTATGGGTGATAAATACCAAACGTTTGAACGCAACAATTGTGACGAAAAAGAGAGAGAGAGAGAGGAGGCGTCACAAACGGAGAGGCTCTATTATTAATTTACACTGAGATGATTCTTTTTATACTCGCGTCTCCTTCGACTAGCATTTTTATATAACGTTTCAAGAGAGGGAAGAAGTCCGAACTGTTTTATACAGGAGGAGGGAAGCTAGGCGTTATCAATTTTTATAACAAGCATTTCGACGTTTGCGAGATATTCGAATATGTAAATAGTATACATCCGTGTATAAAAACATATATATATATATGTATCTTAAATATACTAGAAATATATGACTTTATTTACTTTCAACGAGAACTTTTATAACTCGTAGACTAGTGGTTTGCCCTCGAGTCCGTTTAGAATGTTTTGTGCAGCGGTCAGAGACATGTCCGATCGCGTTCTCAAGGTAGCACTGCCCAAATGAGGGATGATCACTGCAGAACACATTCATTAAAGTACGATTTTCAATTTTATGATACATTATTCCAACGATACATTAGAAGAATGCATCATTTTAATAAGTAAATCATGAATTAAAGCTTATATTTCTATGTTTTTGCAGAGAACTTAAAACTCACCAGCGTTTGGCAGTTTAAGAAGTTCATGATCAGCCGGCAAAGGTTCCGGGTCCATGACATCAAGCCCAGCGGCGAAAATCTTATTACTTTTCAAAGCTTTGATCAAATCATCAGTTTTGACGATTTGTCCCCGAGCTACGTTTACAAGAATCGAAGTACTTTTCATTTTATTGAAAGTACTCTCGTTGAACATGCCACGAGTCTCGTTAGTCAAGGGAGCGGCAATAATTACGAAATCGCTTTGTGTAAGAAGATCGTCGAGGGATACGAAATCAGCTCCGAGCTCGTCTCCTGCTTTCTTACGAGAGTGGCCCGTGTATAGGAAACGAGCTACTTCGAAGCCTTTTAATCTTTTAACTATGGTCTGCCCGATGTTTCCTAGACCGATGATGCCCACTGTGGAACCTCGCAATTCGTAGCCGAGCAAAAATTGGTTTCGCACTTCCCATTGACCCCTACAGCAAAGATTTTTCAGTCAATAGGAAATTAAATTGTACTCTTAGAGTGTACAGAGGAAGCAACGACCAGTTATATAACACAGCAACGTAATTTCATTTAATTAATCTTTATAAGACTATAAATGAATTCCATATTGATAGACGTTACATATTTGTTTAATTCGCAGTTATTTATTACCAACAAGCTTACTTCGTACGAAGGAGGTCTATGCCAGCCGAAGGGACTTCGTTAGAAGTAACGAGAACACGTGGTTTCACTGTTTTACCTGACATCTTAAACAACTGTGTACTAACGCAAGCGCTTGTAAACTGATAAATTGTAGCGACGTGCCTCAAATTATATAACACCGACATGTTATTAGCGCAAGCGTGAGTAATTGATCTTCAGATAAAAGACGAGTGGGGAATGCGATACGTACTGGTTTTTTATAAGGAAACTTGCCCCTCCACGATTTTCCGTTTGTGCAACTTGCGACTACGTTTCCTGGCTAATTCTTATGGGAACAAGATTTAATAGAATAAGTTCTATAAAATTATACTGGCTACTGATTTTATAAGTTGATTAATTTCGGATAAGGAATAAAATTACTGTTCGATTTTCAAGCGTCCTTCATGAGCTCGCCTAGCCGTGGCTAAAGCCAAGAGTACCGCAATTTCTGCGACCGCAGACGAAAGAACCATCGGCGTGTGACCAACCCGGATGCCCCTCCGTTTAATTTCAGGCACGTCCAAATAATCATAACCGGCTGACATCGTCGAGATTACTTTCAAAGACGACCCTACTACGTATCAAAGATTATCTCAAATCATATCATACTCCATGACGTTCATGGAATTTTTATGATAAGATATATTTACTGTTTAAATATTTACCTATACGATCAAGAAAGTAGCTATTGACGTTTACATGATTGGCGAGGAAGAGTGCATCGTGACCCGGAACAGCTTGGAGCACGTCATCCTGAGTGACCGAAGGAGCCTGAATAATTGTCACATCGCATCTAATCGAAGGAACATCCAAAAGATAAGAAGCCGAATTTTAAATTAGAGTAAAAATGAACTGCAGTCATTAAAAAATTCATAGCACTATTGCTTCGTATAGTAAATGTCCCAACTTAATTTAATAATGATAATGAAGTTTGTATACTGTTTAAATTCTAGGACCTTCAAGAGGAAGTCCAGGAGAATAAATTAAAACCCTTGGAAGCTTCAACATTTAGAATTATACAAAAACAGTGAATATAGACATTCACTTCCTCCTTTCATTTCTATTCCTAATATAACACAGCAACGTAATTTCATTTAATTAATCTTTATAAGACTATAAATGAATTCCATATTGATAGACGTTACATATT